TGAATCTTACTCCCCTGGCTGTCAACGATGAGTCTGCAATGACTGTTCTTCAGTTCAGAAGAGTTAAAGCAGGCTTGAAATGTTGACCGTATTTCCACAATGCTGCTAGATGTGCTGAGATTCTCCAGCACTTTCTGTTTTTATTCCAAATCTCCAGCGTGGAATCGTAGAATCTCCACAGTGCAGAAAGAGGCCATTTGCTCATTGAATCCATGCTGACCCTCTGAAATTGCACCCTATCCTCACATTTTACTGTGGCTAAAGCACTTAACCTGTACATCCCTGGACACAGTGGGACAATTTAACCACGGCCAATTCACCTAACCTATTTTATTTAAGTTCATTCATGGGAGGAGGGCGTCTCTGGACAGGCAGCATTTATTGCCCATCCCTAATTGCCCAGAGGGCAGTTGAGAGTCAACTATAGGTCTGGAGTCACATGTAGGCCAGACCAGGTAAGGATGGTAGTTTCCTTCCCTAAAGCACATGAGTGAACCAGATGATTTTTTCCAACAACTGACAAGGGATTCGTGGTCATCATCAGACTCTTAATTCTAGATTATCCTGCATATCCCTGGACTGTGGACATTTGCAGGACTTGTCTTTTATTTGAGGGGTGATGGAGAGATTTTGTCTGCTGTTGTTAACATACAGCTGACCTCCAGCTTGCAGCAGATGTTCATGGACTAGCACACAGTTGAGGCAAATGTGGGAGGCCAAGAACAGAAGCAGCAGGAAGAGCTCTGTGGGTGTTGCTCCGAGCAGAGTGAGGTGGGAAAGGGTAGAAGTGAGTGACAGCAAATCCAACTCACTCACATAGAAAATTTAAGCAGGAATAGGCCATTCGCCCTGTTGAGTCTGCTCCACCATTCAATATGATCGTGGCTGATCATCCAACTCAGTCCCCTGTTCCCGCTCTCTCCCCATACCCTTTGGTCTCTTTAGCCCTAAGAAATATATCTAACTCCTTCTTGAAAACATTCAATGTTTTCAAACAACAACAACTCCTCTTCTTCCTCGGGCGGCTCAGGAAATTTGGCATGTCCATAAGGTCCCTCACCAAATTCTACAGATGCACCATTGAAAGCATACTATCCGGGTGCATAACGGCCTGGTACGGCAACAGCTCTGCCCAGGACTGTAAGAAACTACAGAAGGTGGTGTGCACAGCCC